TTCTCCTCATTCTTAAGTTCCAGCCGCACAATTTCATCCTGATACTTTGCAAGTGGTACTGGAGGTTCCATCACTCAATTTACATCCTATGCAAACTCGGAGCAAGAGTGGAATTATCAAGAAAAGAGCTTTGTTAGCTACTGTTCAGGAGTCTGAGGGTACTGATTTGTCTCTCATTGAACCAACTTCCTACAAATCTGCAATTAAGAATCCAATTTGGTTTAAGGCTATGCAAGAGGAAATCAGTGCTTTGCATACACAAGGTACCTGGAATCTGGTGGTATTACCTTCCTCAAAGAATTTGGTGGGGTGCAAGTGGATCTTCAAGATCAAGAGACATTCTGATGGTACTATTGCAAGACATAAAGCTAGATTAGTAGCTAAAGGGTTCAGTCAAGAACCTGGAATTGACTATGGGGAAACGTTCAGTCCTGTGGTTAAACCTACAACTGTTAGGTTAGTCTTCGCTCTTGCAGCTCAGTTTGGTTGGTCCCTTCGACAATTAGATGTCAAAAATGCCTTTTTACATGGCATTTTAGAAGAAGAAGTGTACATGGCTCAGCCTCCTGGGTTTGAAGATGCTAATCATCCTCATCTAGTTTGCAAACTACACAAATCACTATATGGACTCAAGCAAGCTCCCAGAGCTTGGAATGATAGATTCACAAAATTCCTGCCTCACTTGGGGTTCCAAAACACTTATTCGGATTCCTCTTTGTTTGTAAAAAAGGTTGATTCTGGTATTGTCATTCTCCTATTCTATGTGGATGATATTATCATCACAGGGAGTGCATCTGCATCAATACAACAGGTTATTACTGCATTAACAACTGAGTTTGACATCAAGGATTTAGGGGATTGCATTTCTTTCTTGGCATTCAAATTTCAAGAACTGCAACTGGTTTATTCTTATCTCAATCGAAATATGTGTTGGATCTTCTCACCAAAACAGAGATGCTAGATGCAAAACCTTGTGACACTCATTGTTTGCCGTATAACAGACTTCTTAAGGATGATGGTGATCCATATACCAATCTTACTTTGTACAGAAGTGTGGTAGGTGCTTCGCAGTACCTTACGTTTACAAGGCCTGATATAGCATTCTCTATCCATCAAGTGGCTCAGTTCATGCAATCACCTATGGTTGCCCACTTTACAGCAGTTAAACGAATCTTGAGGTACTTAAAAGGAACCCTTCATCATGGCATCTGTTATTATAGAGGATCGCTTCAATTAAAGGCCTTTAGTGATGCTGACTAGGTAGGGGACCCTAATGACAGACGGTCAACTACTGGCTTGGTTGTGTTTTTAGGGAATAATCCTATTTCCTGGTCATCCAAGAAGCAACTGACAGTCTCACGATCTTCTACAGAGGCCGAATACCGTGCCCTGTCATCCATATCTGCAGAATTGGACTGGATCCAGCAACCGTTAGTTTTCTTGCAGGTTCCTTTACCCTCTACACTTGTTTTGTTTTGTGATAATCTGTCTGCCATTGCGTTGTCTTTTAATCCAGTTCAACATCAATGCACTAAGCACATTGAGATTGATGTTCATTTTGTGAGGGAACGAGTTGCAAAGAAACAACTCTCTGTGCAGTTTGTGTCGTCCAAAGAGCAGTTGGCTGACATTCTGACTAAAGGCTTGAGTTCTCCTTTATTTCATACTCACTGTACCAATCTCATGCTTCGTGCATCCCAGCATGAGTTTGCGGGGGGATGATAGAGTGTAGAAATTGATGTATAGGATGATGACATTTGTAATTAGATTAGAAGATGTGTTAGTTAAGGCAGTTAGCCTTGTTGTTGTAAGTGTATAAATATCTCAACCTCTTGTATTACTTAGGCATTATATATCAAGAACATTCATTTTCTCTCTCTCTTCTCTCTAAGTTGTTATCTCTCTCTAGAATTTCTGTATACAAATTCATAGATTTAGTTACATTTACAATCACTACCGTCGTTCCAGACTTGCAGTAATAATATTATCATTCCCCCTCCAGCTATAAAGCTTGTGTGTTTGTTTGTTTTTTTTTTTTTTTTTTTTTTTTTTTTTTTTTTTTTTTGAAAGCATGTGTTTGTTCTTTGGAACCAAGAAAATGACCTCATCTGCAAGTGAAAAACGCTTACTTCAAGATTGCAGCCAATGAAAAACATAGTGAGAACTCGCCGTACTTCGACGGATGAAGGGCTTACGAACAAAACCCTTTTCACCAAACTAAAAATCCTGAGGGTTTAATTGAGACGACTGAAGGGGTATATCTTTTTGTTCCTTTATCGGCAAAAACCTTCTGCGAGAGAGAGAGATAAATCGAGAAAATGGACAAAAGGTTGAGAGGATTCTGGACCTATGGGGAGAGTTTTCATCCAGATGACCAACATAAACACCGAAAAAAAAAAATTCATCAACTTTTTGCTTCTAATTCCGTAATACCTATTCGAGTTCGAATTCACACAAAAAAAAAGACATAAATCCATAAAAAATTTACCAGATAAAAAAAATGAAATATAGGATGAATTAGAAGCTTTTGGCAAAGATGAAATTACACAAATCAAACAGGGGCAAATCCATCATTTCATTAAAGTGAACAGTATCGCGGGTTTTTCGTTAAAACTCCCTAGTATATGTATAATATCATCTCTCTTTTTTTTTCTTTTGTGTTTGTTTTTCTGCATTCTTAATTGATCTCTCTAATAAAGATTGATCAAATCCTAAATACATGAGAACAAATCTAGTTTTTTGTGTAATTAGCACTACTCTTAATAGGGCTTAGGAAAAGAGCATTTGGGAACTACATTTTTTACTTATGTAGCTTGGTGTTAATTTAATCTCTTTGGTGTGCAATACATTTTCTCATATATTTATTAACGATGGTTTGAAATTTCTGAATTGTTGTGTTGTAGTGTTATAATGTGACGTATATCCAAATTATCAGTAACCGGAGTTCTTCATTGACAAGCTCTTCAAAATTCTATTTCATATTTAAAAAACACGTAAATCACTGGTCTTAAGAAAAACCTCTGAACTCGAATGTTATTATGCCCGATTAGGGGACACTCCAAAAAAAAAAAAAGGAAAAATACTAGCTAACAATTTTGCCCAGCTTGGCCTTTGCAACTTTTCTTTGAAGATATCATCGTTCCCCAAGTGGCAGGTAGGTCGATTATGTTTATGTATATGAGATAGATATGCAGCTGTAACTATAAGGAGTTTTTTTCTTTAAAAAAAGAAAGGAAGAAATAGTATCTGACAGTTAATTTAGGTTCGGCTCTTTCACGGACAACAAAAGGCCTATAGGCAGTGTACAACGATTCAAGTCAATGGCAGCAAGCAACATTGTGAATATCTGTGACAACTGAGGTTTCCAATTTTTTGTATCTTGTACAATAAACAAATGAAGCAGCAGTGTGCATCCATACAAACAAAGCAGGCCAGTTTCCCCTTCATATGCACACTATAATCTCTTGTCCCAATGTGACGGAGAATGACTTATATGAAATGACGATGTTTTACTTACAGGCAGACAAACAATGCATGAGTCATGATTCCCCAAAAACCTTGAGAATTTACCTTTCGGACTCATTCAAACTCTTCTTGCCCTGTAACTTATGTTTTGTGTTGTTTGTCAGTTGACTCATTTTATCACTTTCCTTTTTATAGTGACCTTTTCTAATTTCGTAAATAGTCGCATTATATCATCCATTATCAATTTATCATGTTGTCAGCATTGTCTCACTATACTGATAATAAATAATCAAGATAATCTTGATATGATGCAATTGAAGTATCAATCTGCTTCCCTCACTATAAGAAAGACTTACTTACAACCCTTAGACATCTCCATAACATCTTAGATCAATAATACGACACCATGTGATTTAAATTTCTCACATGTGATTAATTTAAAACATTGTCACTTTAACTTATCTCTGTTCCATGCAAATCTATCTCCCATACTTTTGAGTATTTTCGATTTGATACAATAATATTATGATGATTATAGATGCCACATATAACTAAATAAGAGAAACAAGTGCAAGTCATAAACTAACTTGTGCTACAACTAATCTTGCAACAAAGTAGGAGACTACTATAGCTATATTAGCACCTAATTAACCAACTAATCAAACGTAATTGACTAAGCCAAGCAATTTTTCTTCAAAAGCCCTTACTACTTAGTAGTACTAAAAATGAACAATCATAATTCAATTGAGGAAATATTGTTTTGCTTACTTGTCATCTAATGGATATAAACTTATAAAACTTAACTGCTTGGTAATACGGTCTATTGAAAACTTACCTCAAGCCAAGACTTGAAACACATTTTATTTTCCTAAAAAAAACTAAATACATAATATATATATATATATCTATAAACAAGTTAGGATGCGGGGACACACATTTTTAACACACATTTAGTGGGCTCACTCCGTAATATATTTCAATGATCCAACCATCTATCTTTTAGTCATCCCTCAAATATTATGTCTACCAAAATTCTCTCAAATCTGAAGTCATATGACAATTTTATTAAATTTAGTATTTCTTCATAGAACCGTATTTGTCTATTTTTTTCACTACAAATTAATGTCTTAATGATCTTGAATTTGTCTAATTTTACGTAAAGATAATCTATAAATGATGAATTGCAATATAGACCATTCAGATCCTTGAAAAAAATTATGAAATAGGAGTAACAAAAACGTGTGTCAAAATATGTATCCAATATATATATAATCATATATAATCCTGCATCAACTTGTCAATAATGCAGAAAGAAGCATTAATATGTTCATAATATAAATATTTAAGGAGGTCATTTTCTTTTCCCACCAAAAAAAAACAAGTATATCATATAAGATTGTAATTCTATAATTACTTTAAATTAGATATTTAGCATTTGGATGAAACTTGGCGTGCAGGCCGAATAAATTCCTTAGAAAAAAACTAGCAAACAAATATATCAATTTCAAATTAGCTCGAACTATTGTGGGCGGAGTTTCCTGGACCTTCACATTCTTGTCACCTCCGACAAATAATACGTTTCATCTTTCCCATTTATGTTTATTTTGCATTCTCAATTTCCCGCAAGATTTGAAGCCAAAGCCTTAGCTACTACTCTCTGCAGCTAGCAATGGGAGATACAACCGACCAAAGTTCTTCTGTCCCAAGCAATGTAAGCCTCTCTCTCTCTCTCTCTCTCTCTCCCCATAGCTACTCGCACACGCCTAAAGAAGTTGAGGTTTAACCTAAAATTAGTTGGTAATAATGGAGTGACTCAACCCCATATAAGCCTATGCAAGGTTTCTTAACTTTTCGAGTGGGAAAACTCTCCTTATTGCCAACTGGTTTACCTAACCTATTGGAACATGCTCATAGGTAATTAGACTAGATTTTGATTCATTTGGATCATTTTCTGCTTGTGAATTAATTTTTCTAAGAATTCTGGAATTGTGTACTGAATCGCAGGTGGACGAGAAATGGAACAAGCAATCACAGATTATTGGTGAAGATAAGCTACGGAGGCAGAAGGAAATAGATGAGTGGCTTCCAATCACTGGTTCAAGGAATGCAAAATGGTGGTACTCAACTTTCCACAATGTCACCGCCATGGTTGGAGCCGGCGTCTTAAGTCTTCCCTTTGCCATGTCCAATCTCGGATGGTATGTCAACTTTTCTCATTCCCCTTTTAGTCTAGTGCACTTCGAACTAAATACTTTATAATTTTATCTTTGCTTACAGAAGTGCTGCAGGAAGCTAAAATATGAGTTTTAAAGTCATTGGCCTTGTTTTTTAATGATATTTCAAACTATTATAATCTACGGGAAAGAATTTCAAATTCAGATGCAAGAGTAGGCACACACTGTCCTGGCCAACTAGCCTAACTGACTGATAAGGTTTTAATTGCTTATTTAATTTTTCAGGGGTCCTGGTTGTGTGATTCTTGTACTATCTTGGGTGATCACTCTATTCACTTTATGGCAAATGGTTGAGATGCATGAGATGGTTCCCGGAAAGAGGTTTGATAGGTACCATGAGCTAGGGCAACATGCCTTTGGTGAAAAGCTAGGGCTTTGGATTGTGGTGCCCCAACAGCTCATATGTGAAGTTGGTGTGGACATTGTGTATATGGTCACGGGGGGAAACTCGCTGCAGAAAGTTTACAAGACGGTGAAGAAAGACAAGGATCCGATCAAACTCACCTACTTCATAATGATCTTTGCCTCCTGTCATTTTGTCCTCGCCCATCTCCCCAACTTCAACTCCATCTCCGGCGTTTCGTTAGCTGCAGCAGTCATGTCATTAAGGTACATCATTAATTTAAAAAGTATTGAGTTAGCTGAATTTTCTGTCAAATAGTGTCACGTACGCGCTGGGCAAGTACTTTGGAATGCAAATCAGTATTCTCAACACGAATTTGTCTATCCTCCCATGTTCCGCGCATGTAATTGAGTATACAACAATGAAAGTAGAACTATGGGAAGCACAGAGATTCTTAAACTCATTCTCTCTTGATTTTGATTTCAGTTACTCTACTATTGCATGGACTGCTTCCCTCCACAAGGGTGTTCAGCCGGATGTAGCATACGGGTATAAAGCCAGGAGCACTCCAGGAACAGTATTCAACTTCTTCACTGCCTTGGGGGACGTAGCTTTTGCCTATGCAGGCCACAATGTGGTTTTGGAGATCCAAGCAACAATCCCTTCGACGCCCGAAAAGCCATCGAAGAAGCCTATGTGGAGAGGAGTTGTGTTCGCCTACCTCGTCGTGGCCTTGTGCTACTTTCCAGTGGCTCTCATTGGATATTACACTTTTGGAAACGCAGTGGAGGACAATATCCTCATCTCGTTAGAGAAACCTGAGTGGCTCATCATAACTGCAAACATGTTTGTTGTCGTCCATGTCATTGGAAGTTATCAGGTAAATTTTTACTAGAATATTTGATCTTGGTAAATTTCAATTGGATTTTAATCAAATATTCTTGGTTTTGCTGTGTTACCATATTGCAATGCAGCTATATGCAATGCCAGTATTTGACATGATAGAGACCTTGTTGGTGAAGAAACTGCACTTCAGGCCTACCCTAATCCTCCGCTTTGTTTCCCGGAATATCTATGTTGGTAAGTAGTTCAGGTCCTCATCGAGTAGAGTGACCGCCATAACTTGACTCTTTTCTCTCCATGCACACCGTATTTATTTATTTATGATCTTTAGATTGAACAAATTAAAGGAGAATAAGGAAAAAGTGATATACATGGCGTGCAAAAGGGGGAAAAGGTGTTACGTTTGTCGTTTCCCAAACAATATTGAATATATGATTTGATCGTGTGTCATTGTTTTCAGCCTTCACAATGTTTGTCGCCATTACTTTCCCCTTCTTCGGTGGTCTTCTAGGATTCTTTGGAGGATTTGCATTTTCCCCGACAACATACTTTGTAAGTCCTTAATCTCTTTCTTTGCAGTAAAAAAGTTTTACTTTTCCTTTGTTCAAGCGATAGTATAGTCTAACCTAACCTATTCATTCACTGATTCACGATCTCCATCTGATTTCATTCTTTAGCTCCCTTGCGTTCTGTGGCTTGCCATCAAGAAACCGCGCAGGTGGAGCCTATCTTGGATTATTAACTGGGTACGTGTGTTTGTTCATATTCTATTCTTACATGTTTTTTCGGAGTGCTAATAACATCACTCTTTCCATAACCATCTTCATTTCTAAATCGGCTTCCTTAAATTGCAGATTTGCATTACTCTCGGCGTCATGCTGATGACTCTATCACCTATTGGAGGGTTGAGGAGTATCATAATTCAAGCCAGTACCTACAAATTCTACAAATAAGTAACAAACTTGGCACAAACACAAGTACTTTGCCCTGAAGTTCAATGCAGTAGATATGGAAATGCAAGCATAAGTTACGAATAAGTACCAAAAGAAAAACTTATGTAACAAGTCATCTCGGTGTGTATTTTTGTGTTGTATGTCAGTATGTGTATGCATAAACTCAGAACCTTGATTCATTTATATTCAGCACCAATGAAATAGAGATATCACTTTAGTGGATTGCATATATTTGCTGGACACTGGTGAGAAGAACAATGTTACATTGGGACATGACTCTTGTGACATCTTGAAAGCTAATATATATAAACTTTCAGCCATATAAAACTAAAATCTATCCAAACCTTAAACCCAAAAGCATGCAAAGAAACTTGCATTTTTCCGCCATTATGTTCTCGAGTCTCTCAATCTTCTGCGATAGGCCTACATTGTACTTTATTCTGTGCAATTAATAGCCGTGGTTATAACTAGTCAGGTTTTCTTATAGCATTCAATCAACAATGGCATCGTACAATACACACACATCAATTGAACTATCTTTTTTGCCCAAGAATAATTTCCGGCACCAAAGCAAACAAAAAAAAAATATCAACATCAAGTGAGCTCAAACAAATCAACTATGGCCGAATGGCTTATTCGTTGGACAAAACTAGCAAACAAAAATTCTTCAATTCCTGCTAGACTCGAAGCCAAAGCCTTATCTGTTCTCTGCAGCAATGGGAGTTCAAGCTCCGACCCTAAAATTCTTCCATCCCCAGCAATGTAAGTCTCTCTCTCTCTCTCTCTCTCTCTGATTTTGATTCATTTGGGTGACATACATTTGGCTTGTGAATCAATTTTGTTTAGGAATTGTGTACTCAATCGCTGGTGGACGAGAAACGAGAGAAGCAATCATTGATGAGGAAAAGATAAGGAGGCGGAAGGCAATATATGATTGGCTTCCAATTACTTCTTCAAGGAACGCAAAATGGTGGTACGTACTCAACTTTCCACAATGTCAACTCCATGGTTGGAGCTGGTGTCCTAAGTCTTCCCTTTGCCATGTCCAATCTCGGATGGTACGTTCAGCCTGTGTCCTTATCTCGGATGGTACATTCAGCAAGCACACTGCCTTAACCAACTATACTAAACCTCGGACAAATTTTTAATTGCTTGTTTCATTCATCTGTGGCGTCCTGGATGTGTTGTAAATTGTAATGGTGTTCTCAGAGGTGATCGCTTTATTCACGTAATGGCAAATTGTTTAGATACATGAAAGGGTTCCTGGAAAGCGGTTCGATAGGAACCAAGAACTAGGGCAACACGCCTTGGCATAAAGCTTGGCTTCTGAATTGCGGTGCCTCAGCAGCGCGTATGCAAAGTTGGTGTCGACAGCTCTTGGTAAACTTGGTCATTCAATCGGATTTTAAACAAATCTTGTTGCATTGCAGTTATTTGCAATGCCAGCATTTGACATGATAGAAACCGCGGTGTTGGTCGTTACCAGGAATATATACGTTGGTAAGTTTGATAACGGACTGACCTACACTCTTGGGACGGCGTTATGTGATTACTGAGTGTATTACATCATCTGAATCGATGTTCTTCGTGTGTTGCATTTCAGCGTTCACAATGGTCGTCGGAATGACCTTTCCCTTCTTCGGTGGTCTCATGGGATTGCTCGGAGGATTTGCTTATTCCCCAGCATCACACTATGGAAGTCCTAAGTACGTCTCTTAAATTGCAGTCAAATCCAAGTTCAAATCTCACTCACTCAGTCTCCGTTTGATTTCTCTCTTCAAGCTCCCCGTGTGTCATATGGCTTGCCATCAAGAAACCGCGCAAGTTTAGCCTATCTCGGTTTATTAACTGGGTACGTAAGCAACTTCTTTCGTTCAATGGTGGTAAAACCAGACCTCCATAATATTTGGTGTCCTCGATTTCAGATTTGCATTACACTCGGCGTCCTACTGATGATCCTATCGCCTATCGGAGGTTTACGGAATATCATACTTCAGGCCAAGGACTGGCACTTCTACAATTAACAAACTTTTGGCACTCAAACCAGTACAGTTTGTGAGGAATAAGTACCACGAAAGATATGAAAATCGGGTTTTCCACCTCTCTTTCTTTGGTATGTCGACAGCCAACCAAGTACTGGCATAGTTGAATGTCGACGATCTCACCAAAATGCAGCATGGCAGCGAAACAGCGCCCGAAAGTTCGACCATAACCAAAGCAGTTGGGAGGAATAAGAATATTGCTGAAGAAAGAAAGTCAAAATTTTGGGTTGCTTCAACGCTTCAACCTATTCAATAGGTTTGGTGGTTGGCCTGCTTCAACTAGAAGATAAGGGTATCAACTTATTCATTTCCTTCCTAATAATTGATGCATACGTAGACGTGGGTTATGTCAGTTAGGCACAATAGTATGCTCGCCCCTTGTTCAAATCCCTTCTCGTAAGTTAGAGTAGATTAGAACGTCGTTTTGTGAAGTGAATTCAAGCAAACCTATACAGAAACCAGCAAATTGTAACAAAAATTTGGAAGAAGAGACTATGAAACTATGATTAAGAATACATGTTACAAATAAGCGGCTCTATAAATCCTAGAACGTCACTGCGCTCAGCAAATTGTAACAAACATTTTAATTAAAGGACTATGAAACTGTGATTAAGAATACATGTTGCAAATTGTTACATATATAACCACTAATAAGAACAACCCAAATTGTTATTAAGCTTTGAGAAACAGCTCAAATCTTCAATTTCAAATTTCTAATTGGTGAAAAACAAAACCCCAAAACCCAAAATCTTGGGTTTTATCTAGCTTTCTTTTCCAATTCGCCAGTCCTGGCTCTAAACAATTCGACCCAGAGATTCGAAATCCACAAAATGCTGACAGAAATGGCGGCCATCACTACCACAATCCAGGAACCCCAAACCCACCGCGGAATCAATCCGTCGGCGGCGCCGCTGATGTAAAAGGCCCCCATTCGGTACACGAAATACGGACCCACAAAGCCACGAACAATCGAATACAGAATGTAAAAAGGAGGAGACAATAGATCATACACCTTAGCTGCAAACTTCAAGTCGCTTCTCCTGGCGTTGGCGAGCGTCCAGACGTTCTGGCAGAGGCTGGTGACCTCGGCGAGGATCAGGAGGGAGAGAATGGCGAATGCACCGTGGGAGGCGACGTAGCGGCAGGTTAGGAAGACGAAGAGCGTGGCGAGGTGGTGGCCGATGAAGAGGACGTCGCTGGGGAAGAAGACGAGGTAGTGGAGGAGATCGGTGAGGAAGTAGGCGACGCTGTAATCGAGGACGGAGTTCTGGAAAAGGGTGTTGGGGGCGGCGAATCCGGTGGCGGGGTCGGAGAGGATGGCGTACGTGGAGAGAACGACGGCGGGGGTGCCGTGGGCGAGGGAGATTAGGCAGCTGGAGGCTTCGGGTCGGATCTTAGGGCTCCAAGTTCGGAAGACGATGAAGTAGGCAATGAGGTAGACGATGGAGAACATGAGGAAGAAGATGGGGAGGCATGGGAATTGAAGAGATGACAACGGCGACAGCGACGGCGACGGCGGGGAGTGGATTGGGTTTTGGGTTTCCATCTGAGATGGAAACGAAATCAAAGGGCTTTGACGAAGATTACGGGAAACGGAGAGAGGGTTTGATTTATAGAGAATTGCGTTGTTTGGGATGGCGAGTGGGACAACGACTGGTGTGGTGTGGGTGTGTCAGTGCGACTCCTGAGACTGACCGACTGCGTTCGAGTTCGAGAAAGTTCATAAAAATTTGGTGCGGTGTTGAACCGCTAACTCGATTTTATTGTTTATTTGTACGAAGCGATTTGGTAAATCGTTATGTTCACGAGGACGATTGGGGGCTTTTAAACTTTGTTTGACTTAGTGCCTCTCCAATTCATACTGGTGATGTTAAAGACACATCAACTTGAGTTATATTTTGTAAATAAGATGATGTGGTAATTGATGGTTGAATTCTTTATTTAAATCATTACAAAATGTATCCAACCATAAAATGTCAGATCATGTGATCCAACCAATAAACGCCATATCACATGATCTATCATATTTAAATAGATGCATCTAATCATCAATCATCACATTATGCAATCTACAAAATTACCGTTCTCGATACTTAAAAGTCGAATTTGATTTTCTTTGCAATTTTGCATTAGAGATGTTATAACTTGCACCACGACATCTGTAATCAAATACGTGTATTTTTAACTTGTAAATTTTGTCTTTGGAGATAGTTTTAAGTGCGAGGGTCGAGCACCGGCCTCATGTGAACGGGAATTCAAATTCGGGTTCAATTTCTCATACCAATGAGTCTAAAATAGTCTTACATGCACCTCTGTTTCCGATCCGGCGAACGGTAGAACTCCGGGAAAAAAAAAAAAAAAAAAAAAAAAGGTTCTTTCTGGCCTTTGGATGGCATCAAGGGATGGATGGTAAAGTACCCAAAAAAGCATCAACGACAAAAGTACGCAGACATTTCTTCTTTTTTAATCCTCTTTTCATATCAAAATATTCTATTTCGTACTTCTTTGTTTCGTCCATGAGTACAAAAGCAGCAAACGATTTAATCAATTTCTCCCTCTTCTATATCATTTACAGGACTCGGAGAAGCATTTACAGTACCTGGAGGAACACTAACAGGCTCGGCGTCTTCCTCCTCATCATCGTCTTTCATGTACAAGCCAAGTTGTTCCAACGGGTTACTCCCTCCAAAGTTAAAGCCGCCTAAGCCATCCTGCGAGTGATCGGGGCTCGTTTCGTCTACAGAGCTCGGTAGCTGCTCTGCAGGGGCAGTTCTAAGCATCTCCAGATCTTTAAGAAACCGAGAGTTCTCGTTGATTTCAACAGTCTTTTCCATCTGTACACAACGCAAACAATTTCCCCATAAAGATCCACAGATACTAGAGGGGTAGTATGTATGCAACATATGAGGAGGTTTGGCGATTTACCTGCAGCAATGCCTGCCTTGCTGCTTCTCTCTCAAGCTCCCTCTTCCGTTTAGCCTCAGCTGCAGCTTCTGCTTCCGCTCGCCTTCGAGCATCCTCAGCAGCCTTAGCTTCCGCTTGTAACCGTGCTTTCTCTGCTCATATTTTGCAACAAAATACACAAATACATACGAACAGACATTTCAGTTTACTAAACTATAGGAGATGTATGAACATGGTTTGCAATCAAAGGATCGTTGCAAAATTTTATGCCACCAAACCCATACA